CCATTGTGTTGCATAAAGCAATCCTTCAGTCATTTGGTGCCTATTGTTTTGTGCAAAATTGTATGTGAGGCAAATAAGCGATAGTACAGAGAGGCAAAGAAAGCAACCAAAGAGTTCATAGTTTGGTTGCGCTTGTTTGGATACAATGGCAAGGAGAAAGATTGATTTAAGTTTTTTTTCCAATTTGATTTAACTCTGAGAAAGCACCTGGGCCCTGTTTCATAAAACTGCTAAAACAAATGCTAAAATTCTATGACAAATTTGCTCTCAACCAGTCAATGCCATGATTTTAGTAGCTTATAACAGTTAGTGTAACTTGATACTGGCAAGTTCTATGAAACAGGGCCCTAAGTTTGAAAAAATCCCTTCCTGTAGTTTTGCTATCAATTTTATCCCGTAGTGTTCTCTGAAATAGCGAAAGTAGATTGTACTTTGAATTTGGGATTTTACCCTGACTTTAAATTAAAAGAACATTTTCTGGATCGAGAGTGTGTGCACTGTGCATTGTTTGTCATGTAGCAGGCATTAAAACTAAAAGCTGTTTTTGTTTCTTTTTTTTTGTAGATATCAATGCAGCATGACTTCAAGCTTCAGACGCTAAGCCTGTCAAGAACGAATACATCCATTGGGAGATATCGAAATGAGCTGCTTGACCTACAGAGAGGCAGTACCAGGTAATGTAATTGGGGAATGTACACCAAACTGAGCTCAAGTACATGTACCGGTAGCATGAAAAGAGTTTGGATTTTTTTAGATTTTCATATAACCTGTCGCATACCAGAGATGCAGTCGCATTCATCTTGTGTTTTTGTTGTTGATTGCTTAGTTATTACCATTTTGGAGGCATCAACAGTCCTGTTTGGCCAATTGCAATCTAATTTCATTTCAGGTATTTTTCATCCTATAATACCTATTGTGCAGCACAGGCAAGAATACAGTATTAAGGTATAGACCAGTTTTGGAAACGCCCCCCCCCCCCTCAAAAAAATGAAATGGAAGCTCTTATTACCAATCATGTGAAAGAATATGTTTTGACTGATACGTGATGATACAAATTTTGCCAGGAAACCGCCTACTAATTGATATATTTGGTAAATTATCATATCGATCCGGCCTGGATAGATATCGTGAATGCACTTCAACATTGAACATTTGGGCATATATTTTTACTTTTTTGCGAGTTTAGGTTGAAGTATTGCCATCTAAACCTCTGAAGGCAATATTTAAACAATATTGAATGGATATTTTGCGCCCAAAACCCTTGAACCGCAATTTTACCACTACCGTTCTACCATTAACTTTGGTGTTTTTATCCTCTCAATGCAGACTGGATATCAGGATAGCAGAGTTAAAGAAGGAGCAAGAGAAGTCAGTTGATACTAGGGCCAAGGCTCTCAAAGGCATCGACCTGTTTGTCTCGGACTTGGAGAATCTCCATGAAACCTATAAATCCAAATACCCAAAGGATATCAAATCTGTGGTAAGATCTTTGTATTTTTTATTCATTTGAAGAACAAATAGTCAGGCAATGTTTTATTCCACAAAAATAGCTTTTTTGTAGATGAAAATTGTTATCAGTTAAAAGGTAAAGAAATTGATAAAGACACCTGCTCACGCCCACACACCCCATATGTACACATTTCTGGTGTAAATCAAGGACTTGTATACTGAAGAATTTTACTACATGTTCGAGGACACACAGGTTTCTCTCATTTTTGTGCTTCTATTAAAACCACTCTAATATCAGGGTGGAATTCCCTTAAAACTTTCAATAGAATCATTGCCAGGGGGACACATTTTGGTATAAAAGAGCTCATAGAATTTTAAAATTTTAAAAATAAGTTTTAAAACTTATGTTTTATGAATTAAAGAATAAATTGAACATGCACACAAAGAAAAGAAAGCAATCAAGATTTGAAAAGAAAAGAATACTTTCCTGAATCATAGCAGGTCTCAACTCAAACATGTCTTTCAAAATTTGAACCCTGGACCCCAAAAATTATGAAAGGTAAACAGAGGCTCCATGTCCACTATTATTCTGCGACGAACTGTAATTAAAGATTCATGATAATTAAATAAAAATAATAATGCATCTATACAGCGCATTTGCCATAGACATGTTCAAATCCACTTCATATAGCCCATGTGGTAATATCAGATCTTAACGTAGCACTTCTTCAAACTTTGTGTTATTTCTTTCAGGAGCCTGTTGCTCGAGATAATGCCGAAACCTTGTCATCCGAACTGGAACCTAGGTTAGAACTACAAAACAACACTGGATCACTGAGCGACAAACTACGAGAGTGGCTAGGCTCACAAGTATTTCAGAAATAATATATTGAATATCCATTCATTTTCAAAATTGTAATTGTTGTCTTTGCAGACAATGTGTTGTTGTCACTTGTTACAATGAATTTTGAATATGATCTTTTTTAGGTATGAATGCAATGGAATGAATGCCTTTTCACTATAAAAAGTGAAGATGGCAATTTATTTCATCATTTAAAGGGAGAGGGTAGTCAGTTTCCATGTACATTTGGTCATGATTCACTGACACCAGACTTGGTGGAATTACCACTAATGGGTGTACAAGTCTGCACACAGCCGACTCGTGGTCCCATCGAGAAATACCCCCTAGTCTATTGGAAAGTCTTCACGTGAGGGAAATGTAAGATAATGAGGGCAATTGGAGGAAAATGCAAAGCAATAAACTAAAGGGTAATCCTGGTGTTTGTCGGACAATACCTGTTATTAGGTACACACCCGAATGATCAAATTTCCCATGGCCATGAGAGCCCACTTCTTTGCGTCTAATGGTAATTCATGTACAGTCAAACCTGCTTTAGTGACCACCTGTCTACAAAGACCACATTTTTTATTTCCCTTGAAAATGGTTTCTCATTGAAACATGCACTAAAGGAGCCTGTGTCTACAAAGACCACTTTTTGTGTTTCCCTTAGGCTGTCGCTATAGACAGGTTTGACTGTTTCCATGTTGTTACTTATCATGCCGTGCTTTTATGCACAATACTGTTTTTACAAAACCAGACATAGATTGGAGTGTAGCCTTGGCGTGAAATAATGTAAAAATGGAACACAAAATTATGAACAATGCACATATTCAACTAACCAGTGGAAAAAAGAAGAAAAAAGTAGGTACCAGTATGCAGGCTGTAAATAAAGAGTGCTGTTTGATAATATTTATTCTGTCATTACATGAATTAGTTAATATAATTGCAAAACATTTCATAAACTCATGTTAATATGCTAAAACACAATTTTGTAATTGCAGTTCTTTTCGTGTATCTAGCATTGCTTCATATTTTAAGTTTGTGATTAATTATGATCAGTTGTACTTGAACAGTATAAGAACTATTGCTGATTATTATGCTCCTTAAGCCCATCTCAAACTATACGATCAGATTAAGATCCGATTTTGGAAGAATGTGCAATAGCATTTGATATGAACTTTCAAACATGTAAAATCCAAATGATCGAGGATCTGAATAGTCATGTGATTAAAAAAATCTAAAATTCAATGGATTTCGTGTTTCCTTGGAAGAGGAAAAGCTAAATCGGCTCAGAATCGTAGCGACGTTAGACCAGTAGTGCGAGTGTCTACGATTTGAAGCCGATTTGCCTTTTCTTCTCCCTAGAAGGGTTTTAATGCATTAAAATTCCAGTTGTTAATATTTATATCATTATTTAGAAGCCAAATCAGGAATATGATGTTTGATTAGATTTCCTATCTAATACAATCACCATTTTTTCGAAAATAAGATCACAGGATGATCGTGTAGTATGTGGTGGGCTTAAAGCTAATGGAATACATTACTCAATACTCAAAAGTGTGGATGGAATAAAAAGAAATATTATTTTGGAATTATGAAAGCACATTCTGCCTTTATCTTTCATCTTTATGTCTGTGACTCTGTGATTTTCTCTCTCTCTCTCTATCTTTCTCTCTCTCTCTCCTCCATCTTGTCTCTTCTCCATTCTCTCCTTGTAATCTCTAAACATGATATTTTTTTATGTGCTTGGAACAATATTTCCTTGTATGTTTGAATTCAAGATAAAAATAATATCTTGCTTGCAAATCAAATTATTATGTATATAAATTGATTAAATTTGTAAATTATCATTTTCATGGCATTACACTATAAACACAAATATGAAAGCGACAGAAAAGAAAGAAAAACTGTCAAGCCATGCACATAATTTTCTTATAAACATATATAATGTCAGATATGATGCTTGGGCTTTTACATTAATAAATGTAATTATATGTATCTTATGTAAATTATATGTACAGTATTTGACTAATACAAATTCTATAATATCTACTGCTCAGCAAAAAAGTATGTTATATAGAACTGTACTTAAAACTTTGTATGATTTTTTTGGTTTGTAATAAAATGTTCATTAACAGCTAATTAAAATCCTGTTTCAATTTGTTCTATCTGTTTGAATTTGAATTTTTGAATTTATTAATAACAAAACATCACAATTATGTATTATTAATATTTAGGTGAAGTTGTTAATGGGAACTGGAAGTTTGCACAAGTGCTGTTTGATTTATTATTTTAAATTCTTATGAACGGCATATAACCTATACATTTTTAATAAAATACGGGTCACATATAGAGTAGAACCTTGCTATAAAACAAGCTCCTAATTGAGGTATAACTTGTGTAGAAAGGTTGCGACCTTTAAAAATTGTATTAAATTTAATAAAGGAGAAGTAGAATGAAATGAGAAGAGAGAGAGAGGAGGTTCATACTCATAAAACCTAACCAAGAAGAAAAAAACTTGCATTGGCCGGGAATTGAACCCGGGTCCCCCGCGTGGCAGGCGAGAATTCTACCACTGAACCACCAATGCTTCACGATAAGTAGGGGAAATTTATTGTATAAGACTTACGTACGTAGTGCGTACATCGTGTATCATGGCCATGCGGAAGTCATACAGTGCATGCAGTGCATGTAAAGTACGTAGTGCATGCAATAATCCAGCGTGATACACTTTTCAACACGTGCAAATTTAAATGCCCACCATTGAAAATGTCGCAGCAAATACCAGAAATCGCAATGGTGAATGGTGATGATGTATCGTTAAATGGAGAAATTCGTAAGAAGAAGAAATCAAAGAAGGAAAAGGTAAGCGTTATATTTTGGAGAAAACTTTGAAATAACATTTTTTTAACAGAGTTAACATGAAATTAAATCGAAGAAGTGTGTGCGAGTGTGACGTGTACGCTCCGTCCATTGATGGAGCGGCTGCGGCTGGGCAAGGGTGACTGGCTGACATGTGGTCGTTGTGAGAGCCGCGCGCTGTTCAGAATCAGAAATGAAATCGGAAAGCATTTGCAATGACGATTTGCATCTTGTTCGCGTTTAGAAATCTGAATTCCGCATCACACGTGTGCATTCAGCAAAACTAGAATGATGATAGATGATGGCAGCGTTGTGTAATTCTACAATTTCTGCCCAGAATGACCAGATTAGTCAAAACTCCCAACCTAGATTGATAGATCTAAAATTAAAATGAATTAAAAAAAGGGTTCTTGTTCACAGCTGTGACCATACTTTGGACCCGTAACTCTGGCGTGGAGATACCTTACTATAACACACCAAAAATCATATCAATCTTCCACAATTGTTCAAATAACGGGCATGATTTAAAACCTAGACTAAGTCGTTATCTTTCTTACCTGTTTTGTGTCAATTTTCTTTTCTTTTTTTGATCGAACGTAAAATAGCCGTACGCGATAATGGCTGAATGAACGTTTCTGATTTGATGTATACTGAATGAAAAAAGCGTAAGTTTAGTTTAGTATGAAATAGGCATGGGAGTGTTGCTGACAGTTGCTTGAATTTATAAATGAATTTCATTTTATTATTTCTTCTTTTTTTGTACAGAAAATTAAATCTGATGATGCAGAAATAGAATCTCCTTCTAAAGAGGAATCACCATCAGAGGAGAAACCAAAGAAGAAGAGGAAAAAGGGCTCTGATGAGGAAGGAGAAGATGAAATAAAGAAGAAGAAAGTGAAGAAAGAAAAGAATGGAGAAGTTCAACAGAATGGCATCGTAAAGGAAAAGCCATCATCATCAAAGCAGGTACTGCTGAAAGCTCAAGCTTTCTTCTTTTGCCTTGTCAGAATGTTTACAAAAAGACATATCCTTGTAAATAAAGATTTAAAACTTATTGAAGGAAAGGAATGTTAATGAAGAAAATGCTCAAGTTGGATTAGGAGAATTTTAGTTCAGACCTGAAACAAAATTGAATTTACTACATGTAAATATCTATGAATGAACAAAGTAGGATTTTGTTTCATATTGTATTAGATTTTTAATTTGTAAACCATTCTCAATAATTATTGCTTGACAGGAAATACAAGTTGATAAGATTCAAGTCATTTTAATGGGATAAGGGTAATTGATGCATCAGGAGTAGTTCCTGGAGGTTCTATGGACTGTCGGTGTGCACTTCATTTGCCGGAAGGCTGTTCCATTCTGGGATAGAGCATTAGGCAAATGCAAACTTGTCTTCGTCGCTTCTGGCTTTGTGCATCTGGGTCTGTATTTGTATTTGTATTTTTTTGTTTCTTTTTATTTTGTAGATAAATATATTATATGTATTTTTTCTTCTTCTTTTCTTGCACAGGGAGAAGTAGATGAAGAGACCCAAGAAAAGATAGGAGCCTTCTCAAATTTTGGCATAAGACCCAAAACCATTGAGAAACTGCATGGTAAGGACTAAGTAGTGCTGTAGCCGAACCGCCGAACCGAACGGAAGTTTGCCGAACATGGCACTTCCGAACCGAACCGAACCGAACGCAAAGGCCTGGTTCGGATGTTCGGCAGAAAAATATAAAAGTTTTTGCAAGCTAATAAACTTGTCATTTTGTACCTTATTTTCATGCCATAATTGCTCATTTTATATTTACTTTTTTCCCATTTTCCGCCTTTGTGATTTATGCCTATCCCATGGTGGGCGCGACTTCACTGGGGCCATTTAAATCCCAAATCCTGACCATGCTACGTCGCGATCGCAAGCGATAAACAAGAATACATGTGCGTGATCAAAATATGTTCAGCTCAAACCCATTCAACAAAAAATTAATATTTTAATTGTAACAATATCGGACAAATTTTACAATATAAATAATGAAATAAATATATCTTATAGTATGGTATTTATTTATTCAGGAAAAATAGGGATTTTATATTTTTCCTATTAAAAATAAAAACTTATACAAAACAGTTATTGACGAGCCTGAATTTCTATTCAAGAATGCAGCTTTCGTGACTCTAACATTAGACAACAACCGTCTCGGAAAATCTTTAAAAAATATCATTTATTGACAAATTGAAAACATGATTCTTTTAAAATTGAAAATAAAACACGATTTAAGACGGAAATACGAATGTAAGTAGTATTTTTCTTCACAAATAATTACGTTTAGAGCAGTTTTTAATGTGAAATTCGTACTGGTCGGAAGCAGTGTGCAGAGGTCCTCCGTGCTGGTCGGGCCCGGCAGGCTGGCCGGCCCGCCCAGTGCCGACAGCCGTGGCTTTAACGCTGCTTGCTATTATATTACCGAACCCCGAACCGAACCAAGTTCGGGTGAAAAATTGCCGAACTCTGCCGAACCGAACCGAACACGAACATAGCGTCTGACTTACAGCACTAGGACTAAGGAAGAGAAATCATTATATGCAAAATTTATGTAATAATGAAGTTGCTATTTTACAAGTAGTGAATTTCATTTGCATGTAATGTAAGATTACATCTTGATCTACTTGTGAAATTATCAAAGTCTTCTCAATATATTCTTTAAAAAATGTAGCATGCAGGTGATTTTTTTTTTTGCCTTGGACATGTAAATTGACTGAATATGTTTTATATGTTTAATGTGTAAATATTGCAAATACAATGTTTATAATATCTGTCAGCTATCCTTGTGAAAAAGGGAGGACATTTCTTGAGCTTAGCATTGTGTTCGAAGTATCAGCTCAGGCTACCACACAGTGTTGCCAAAAGCTTTCCATTGTGAATAATCGCTCAAAAATCTGGGAGAAGAATTCAGGGCTCAACGTAGCTGGGTTTCATGGGGAATTTGACACCGGTCAAGCATTTTTCCTGATAATAGGTGTTGTCAGTCACCAAGAGTGGACTTCACTTTTAAGACAGACAAGTCGTGTGTAATGCACTGTGCCCTAGCCTACCACTGTATGCAATTTTCATCATAATGTAACATTTCCATCAACCTCTTGATAATGAAGGCAAGTAAGAGTATTTTCTGGTGAGATCACAGGTTTTGCTGACCATTGCACACATATCATCATTAATAGGTCATTTATTCAACCAAATCTCGTGTTAGCGATTTAAGATGCGATACACAGACACTGATCGACTATACTGTGTGGCCTAAAGTAGAGGCATGCCATACATGGTCTTCTTCAAAATGTAAGGTTCATAAACGTTAAAAGTATCTTGACCGTAACATGCTGATTTTGTTTTTTTTTGGTTTATTTTTGTCATACAGCCAAAGGAGTCAAATACCTGTTTCCCATTCAAGCCCAGACTTTCAAGCCAATTGATGATGGTTTTGATGTCATAGCACAAGCACGTAAGTGTGATTAGGAGTTGATTCATGTGTGATGTTCAATTATGTTGAGCAACCCCTTATAAGAAATCCATCTTTATGGTATGATCCTTAATTAAAGTGTTTAAAGTAATTGTAATATGAACTCATGCCATAATGAGATATTTGTGTCATTCACCTTTTCCCCAAATTCTCTTTTCTTCATCTAACTGATGAAAATATTACAAAAATAATTATGTAAGGATGCACTGAAGACCAAAGGAGACGAGGCAGACAGAAGATTAGATGGCAGATAACACATCTATCACTCGTTTCAGCCTATCACATGGCTCAAGACAAAACATTCTGGAAAACTATCATCAACCGGGCCACAAAGGATTAGTCCTGACTTGCAGGACCATCCAACATGCCAACATGTCGGTGCTCACTTCCTGTCACAATATTTCTCCCCTACAGGAACTGGAACCGGTAAGACTTTATCCTTTGTCCTCCCGCTGGTCGAGAAATGGCAGCAGTTCCCTCAGAAGAGCGGCCGGCAACCCATCATCCTTGCCCTCGCTCCTACCAGAGAACTGGCCAAGCAGGTAAACAAGCACAATCAACTTCTTCTGGGGCCCCATTTCACAAAAATTGTCATCAGTGACAAATGACAGTTTTTGTTATAAGCTAGTGAAATCCTTGCTTCTGATTGGTTATCAGCAGATTTGTCACTGATTTTTGTAATGTGTCATTGAAAAAAGGTTTTGTGAAACAGGTCCCTGTACTCCCATGAGAGTGTACCAATCACCCAAGAGAAAAAATAATTTGCCTGCATCCAATTGCGAAACTTGCTTGCTTTTGCTTGTTCTTATAAACATGTGCTTACATTTGTTCAAGCTCCGTCATACCAGCTTGGGCTCTTGCTTAATCAGGACGTTCACATTTAAGCAGCATTTCATTATACCATACTTCAAGGATCATAACATTTGTTATCTTCCTGCGTTCTGTCATCCCACCACCAGATATCGGAGTACTTTGAAGCCATCGGTCCGCACCTCAGCACCACCTGCATCTACGGAGGCACCTCCTACTGGCCCCAGGAGTCGGCCATCCGGCGGGGTCTGGACGTCGTCGTGGGAACGCCTGGACGCATCCTGGACTACATCCGCAAGAACACCCTGGACCTGTCCAAGCTGAAGCACGTCGTGTTGGACGAAGTGGATCGGATGCTGGACATGGGGTTTGCGGAATCGGTGGAGGAGATCCTCGGTGCTGCTTACAAGACTGGTATGTGACGAGGATTATGTGTTTCATCAGGAATATGGTATTATTATTAGTACTTTATTTGGCAAATCAAGTCAGATAAATACAACAATATATATATCGGTTTCTATACTTGAAGATTCAGACTCATTATCTGGCCCTGGGTTTGACTTCACATCTCCGAAACTGAGTAGCTGTATATTGTAACAGGCAGTACAATTATTATAATATAGAGAGTAACCTTTTGCATAGCCTTTAATATCAATAGGTACTTTAACCCTATGTTAACTTGGGGGGGGGGGGGGTCAATTTGACCCCCCCCCCCCCCCCCCCTGTAGAAATTTCGTGACTACTCCGTAACCGCGGCAGACATAACAAAATTCCTTTCATGACTTTTTTCTTGAAACGGCCGAGATCCTAGTAAAAACCCGGTCTGAAATAGCCCAGTTAAAATCGGGTTAATCACCACTGGAGAATAATCCTTGACAATGAATAAGAGTTTAGGCTCTTAGATTTGGAACATGAGAAGGACAATGAATAGAGTACTTATCTCCATTGTCCTGTTCAAGCAACAATGTCTTGGCTATTGGTCAAGCTTTGATAGGCACATAGACTTGCTACTCGAAATACACAAAGTTAATCAATTTCCACCACTCATATATCTCACTAAAACAATACAACTGACATCTGGAAAGTAGTCCAGTCTCTTCTATAGCACAAACATAACACTCTGTTAAAAAACTAGAGCAAACCGATATGAAAAAGCATGCAAAAATGATACAACATCGGAGAGCCAACTTGGTGTGTTGAAACAATAACATATAGTAAAAAAATTGTGATTTGTGCGTAGTATCGGGAATATAAACTAAGGGATAGCATCGCTTTTGGCTAAAGTACAATGTCTCTAACAGTACAATTGCACTATCAAAATCATCATTACATATCCACAGAAAGTTCTCCTCATTTCGTCCTATTTCAGGCTCACATACCACTCTGGCGTTTTGAAGCTACAAGAATTTAGGAGTAGCTTAAATGTCCCGCTCCCATTTAAATCGAGAAGTTTAAGAAAAAATTCTTGAGTTAAAAGTTGAGTTAAAATTGAGCAAATAACAGTCAACAAAATGATAGAGTTCACGGAGTAGCTAAAATGTCTCCTCCCTTTCAATTGAAGGGAAAATAATCAAATTAAAACAGGTAATGGTCAACAATCGCTATCAATCAATCAATCAAAAGATATTTAATATATAGCGCCTTTTCCCTGCGGTTACAAAGAGTTGCTCACTCCGCCCCCCAATGTTTGGACTTATAAACAAAATTTAGTCACTTCTCAGAGATCAGTTAAGTATGTGTAGGCTGGTAATAAAGTAATTTCTAGCAGAATAGATGTGACTTTAGAAATGTCTTGCAGTAGTCAACAGATGAGGCCGTCTGCACATCAGTCCTTTCTACCATATAGATTGACTTTGGCGATCATGCTGTTCCGCAACCCTCGGTTCCGAGGCTTCTCTATTAGCACCACTCCCAGTTCTTTCACTCCTCTCTCTTCCAACAATTTGTGCAGACTGTCCATCCAAAGTATCCTCCTCATTCCCCTACTCCTCCTTCCCACAATTTTCCCTGTCAAAGCATGAACTTCAACTACCTAATCAACATCTCACGTATCATCTTCCTTTGCACTCCAGCATCAGTAGGTAGCTGGCTCCAAAGTTTGGCAGCTATAAATTTCACTTCACTTTTCACTTTTCTCTCTTTTATTTTCAAGGTCAACCTGTTGATGGAGAGGAAGTCCGTCACAACCCGCAGACACTCCTCTTCTCAGCCACCGTACCTCCCTGGGTCTACAAGTAATAGTCAACTATCGCTATGAAATTTCACTTTTCTCTCTTTTACCTCGAAGGTCAATCTGGTGCTTCAGAGGAAGCCCCTAACAACCCACAGACACTGCTCTTCTCAATAGTCAACAATCGTTATAAATTTCACTTTTCTCTCTTTTTCATTTCCAAGGTCAACCTGGTGATGGAGAGGAAGCCCCTAACAACCCCCAGACACTGCTCTTCTCAGCCACTGTCCCTCCCTGGGTCTACCAGACTGCAGTCAAGTACATGCGCAAGGATCTCAAGAAGGTGGACCTTGTAGGTAGGGACAGGATGAAGACAGCTACAACAGTTCAGGTAAGATATCTACAAGTTGTTGTTGAACACGCGCTTGTTTTTCAGGAGCTTTTGAATAGTTTTGTTTTATTGTGTCTGTAAAATAGCACTGTTGGGAGTTTTGTTTTCATCACAGCACAGTAGATTATATGTAAATTGATCTATTTATTATTATTATATACTGATTCAGTGAGGCTGTTCACACCGACAGAGATAGCGCGTGCTAGCCACGGCGAGCCAAAACGGCGTGCCACTGGAGCACCTCTTGGGGGTGGTCCACGAGAGATAGCGCGGTCTAGCGCGCGCTAGAAAAAAGGGGGTGCTGCGATAGACCGCGCTCATCTCATTGCGGTGTGAACAGCCTCAGTGACTGACTTTAAGAATGGTGTATGGATTCCTGACCCACAAATATTTGAGTCTTTTTTTCTTCAAGTGCCGAATCAAAATAGTTAACCTTTTATTTGCCATCCATCAAAACCCAAGACTGCCACAGTGTCGTAGATTATATGGTACATGTACAACCTACATGTACCACAGTCATTTGTAGCTGGGAAATAGTGAAAGTAACCCCTTAGTTACCTCCCCCCCCCCCCCCCCAGGTCTATTAGATGGGATAAGTGCCCCCACCCACCCCCGCCCCTCCCTTCAAGATTTTGGCTGTAGGGTGACTGATCACCTGAATTGTACACTGAGCTCCAAAGTTCCGTGAAGAATAAAACCAAACCATTTCTTCTTACACCCAAGCTGGCAATAAAGGCAACCTTTTGAAAACACTCCTTTATTATCCTGTATTATTTCTCATTCAATGTTATACCTGTCTCTTTTCTCCAGCATCTGGCCATCAACTGTAGCTATTTTGACCGACCACAGGTCATTAGTGATGTCATCAAGGTTTACGGGGGTTTGGACGGCCGCTGCATGGTCTTCTGTGAGACCAAGAGGGATGCCAACGAGCTGGCCATGAGCTCTGACGTGAAGCAAGAGACGCAGGTCATGCATGGAGATATACCTCAGACACAGCGAGAGGTCACTCTAAAGGTCAGAGGTCATTCTTCTTCTTCCATCGGAGTACATCCCTCTTTTACAGAGTATCAGAGATGCCAACCCTCCCGATTTCATCGGGAGGCTCCCGATTATTCACCCTAACTCCCGACCATCATTATCCTCCCGATTGAAAAAAAAAAAAAAAAAAAACATTTTTCTTTTTTCTTTCTTTTTTGATTATGATTTTTTTTGGCGCTTATCAGTATATATATTTGTGAATTGAATGAGAAATATTGTCTGTTAACTTTAGCATGTAGTAATTCCACTATGTTAAAAGACAAGTTACGAGTAGCGAAAGATTGTTTCAGCATATGGATCGCCATAACCAATGCGTGGAAATTGACACAGAATTCCAATGGCGGAAAATCGGCAAAAGAAGACCAAGAAATGGTCTCAGAAGTATAAGACCGAATACAGTATCAAGAACCCGTGTATTTGGAAGTCTGAAAGGAATTCATCAGGCATTTTGTACAATTTGTATGTTATTTTTTTTTAAAGTGGGAATTATTGAACTAAATACACATTTAAAATGCTGCAAAATAAGGCTCAGATTGCACCAGAGAGCATCTAGAACCCCAGAACTTCCAGGGCCCTGGACCCTAGCCGCGTGGGTCGGGCGGGCGCTACGCGCTAGAGATGTGCGCTACGCTCACATTATTTGGTGTCGGTTACAAATCCTCACTATTTCTGTTTCCCAAAAGTTGGCATCTCTGGAGTATTGTATTGTACTATACTGGGGTGTGCAGGTGGGCCACTACACCGGGATTGATCTTTCAGTGGTTTATATGTAAAAACTCTGAAATTTTAACCCCATCATTGTTACCAAATTGTTATTTGTTTATATGTCAACATTTATTCATTTTTGCTAGCAATATTTCATATCTTGTATTTTTTTTTAAATCTTTTTTTGTTGTTTTGTTTTTTTGTTACTACTTTAATGTTTTAACTTAAAAATGTATTCATTGTTATATATTTGTCCTCATTTGCTATGTTATCTTTATGTTTTTGAATGCTTTTTATATTGATGTAAACTTGCATTTTTAGTCTTCGGACTTGTTGACAAGTAATGAATAAAACCTTATTTGAACTTGAACTTGAACTTGAACCATGCAAACCTCTCAATTTCTTACCTCCACCCCCCCCCCCCCCCCCCCACTCATGAGTACTGCAATGGACTAGCTGATTATTCTCTCACTTTGAAAGGAGGATGGCTTTGCAATTTCGCAGTACTTTAATGTGATCCTTTCGAATTACCAAATTTATATTTTCCTCTTCTATTCCTGTGCTTCAATAGGGTTTCCGAGAGGGCAAGTTCCAGTGCCTGGTCACCACTGACGTAGCAGCGAGGGGGTTAGACATACCGGAAGTTGATCTAGTCATCCAGTGTAATCCGCCAAGGGTAGGTCATATCATGATTATAATAAGAGTGTCAAAGCTAACATATATATTATTCAAATGAGGGGTTTGGAAAGAAATTTCTTGTATATATTGTTGCATGGCTATCAACTAACACATTTGCCTGATGATGTAAGATCCATCCATGATTTAATAATTAATTTGTTATTATTGATTTTAAGTAATTTGCGTCACCTGTGCCTGGGAGGCCAAAAACTCTAACTGAATCACTGTAATCCTCTGGTCTCTCCTCCCTGTGTGAGTGTTTGAGTGTGTGTAGAGGGACTTTTACACCGCGGTAACCCCGTGTTTTTGTACATTTGGGTACCCTTAGCATCTTATTGGTGTTTCTAGTACCGTAATTAACGTTGTATAAACCGCCCTCGTGTATTAACCGTACCCCTCTTTTTGCCCTTTAAAAAAAAAAAATTGCTGACTTTTTATTTTGCCTACTTAAAAAACAGTAGAGGACCTAGGATAGAACCTGGTGGTACGCTGTGTAATAGAAGAAAAATTGGAATTATAGTTATTATTATCAACTACATATTGAAATCTATCAGAAAGATTACTTTCAAACCAAGATGACAGACAAATTTGAGTGTTTTTCTAGTTTCCGAGTGGTGAGTCAACACACCGATTACCAGAGACATTGCCAGGCATAGCGCCAGGTTTAGGGGCACAAATCAAAACTTTAAAAAAATTAAAAAATTAAAATTAAAATAAAAAATTGGTGTACCGTGTATAAACTGCACCCCCGACTTTGAATTTTTTTCGGCGGTAAGAAGGTGCGATTAATACACCTTTAATTACGGTAAAGAGGGTTGATACACTCTCAACAAACAGGAATTTCATCACCTACAGTGTGTTTTACCCTGAAATTTAATTTTCTGATAGTGGAATGATAAAATGATCAATTTATTGGCTGCTGCTGCACCTGATTCTCTCCTCGATGTATAATCTATGGTCACGTTGTGTCTTCCAGGATGTGGATTCTTACATCCATCGATCAGGGAGGACCGGGAGAGCTGGTCGTAATGGAGTCTGTGTCTGTTTCTACAAGCGACAGGAAGAGAGGGATCTACAGAAAGTAGAATACAAAGCGGTAAGTCCACGATGACTCATGAACACATTCAGATTCAGCTCTTGGGCCAAGTTTCCTCAAACTTATGTTTTTCAATAAAAAGTGCTACAATTCTAAGACAAATTTGCTTTTAGTCATGATATCTTGAATAGGCCTGTGACTGATATTATGTATAATTCGAACATGAATACCATGTTTTTCTTTGAAGTATTCACCTGTAAATTTGACAGGACTGGTATGATATTGTCTAAGCTGGACAAATATCTATTTTTCAGGTTTATATCATGCTTAACCTTTACTGTACTGGGCTATTTTGAGCACCTCGTGACTGGGGGGGGGGCCTGGGAGGCCCCCCTCCCCCATGATCTCGGCCGTCGAAAGTCCGATGAACGCGGAAATTTGCATGTTTTTTCCCAATTTTGTTTTTCCTAATATGCAAATTTTTGTCGTTATAGCCTAATTAATTATGCAAAATGCTAATTTTATGCATTTTACAGAAAACTCTTCATATTTGTCTGTAGACTTGTAAAGAATGTTGAAAATGTATTGAATAAATGTTTCCTTCATCTTAAATTCATGAGGTTACATTATTTTCATGATATTTGAAAATGCATAGGTTGATTTGCATAAATTATGAATACGCATTCATGAATATCAAATCTAGAAATATACAGGGAACTAGAATCATTACAAAAATTGTCAGACTCAACTTTTTGAATGTTCATTGAAACCCATTATTCACATGAAACTTCTGTTCTAACACAAAATAGTTATTTTGATGTAATTAATAAGATAATTTATGCAAATTTGATGCAATTTTCAAATATTTATTTTCTTTTGTATTTTATTGTTTTTTATTTCTTATTATATCTATTGTTTTATTTCTAATGTATTCTTTTGTTCTGGAATACATCAAGTTACTTTGAGAAACATATAAAAGCAATTTGATATCATAGTGTTGCCAGATGCGAGACAGAGATCAAGAGAAGGATAGCTCTCGCTAAATCTGCATTTTCAAAGTTAGGCAAAATTCTGACAAATCGAACAATGTGTATGAGGACCAGAGTAAGGGTATTGAATTGTTACATCTACCCAGTACTTATGTATGGTAGTGAAACATGGACTTTAGCCTCTGATACTAAAAAGCGTTTGGAAAGTTGCGAAATGTGGTTTCTAAGAAGAATGATGAAAATCCCCTGGACTGACAAAGTTAGTAATGAGGAAGTTCTTACATGAGCTGGAGTGCAAAGGATCATGTTACGTGAGATGTTGATTAGGCAGTTGAAGTTCATGGGTCACATTACATGTAAAGAAGGCCTAGAGAATCTTGCTTTGACAGGGAAAATTGTTGGAAGAAGGAGTAGGGGAAGAAGGAGGATACTTTGGATGGACAGTCTGCAGAAATTGTTGGAAGAGAGAGGAGTGAAAGAACTGGGAGTGGTACTAATACAGAAGGCTAGGAGCCGAGGGTTGTGGAACAGCATGATCGCCAAAATCAAACGATATGGCACTTAGAGAGAGAGAGAGCATATCTGCCTGATGCCTTTGATTTTTTAGCAGTAGGTGAAGCCATACACATGACCAAGTGACTCTGTCTAAATCAATATCTTTCTCCCCATAACCCTTACAGGGCATCAAGTTCAAACGAGTGTCGGCTCCCCAGCCAAGCGACATCATCAAGTCATCCGTCAAAGATGTTACAGAGTAAGTCAGAAATAAATTTCTTAGAGTGACTCGGTAACATTGCCTCAGTCTCTGAAACAAAATCCTGGATTTAGCTCATGCTGCAATCATAATTATAAACCTTTAGGTTAGTCAGGAACCCCATGACTTTTTTAACCTGTCTGATTATCAAGATATTTAGGATTGGAAATCAAAATTTAATTTTTCGTTTTGGTAACTGTTTTTAGGACACTATAGCCTATTGGGGAAAATGAGTATGGTAAAACCAGTCACTCAGAAAAAGATTTTTTACTTTTTTGAGGCACTTCATGATCATTTTGAAGCGCAATTTTTTTAGGGCTTCAATATTACACCATATAACAGACACTGTTAACACGTAGGGCCATGCATCTCAGATTTTACATTGTAAAATCAGAAACTATTGTAACCTCATTCTCTCTTTCAATTCTTAATGATGACCTTTTTTTCCCTGCGAGAAGTTTGCAAGTTGGAAATACATGGTGTTTTAGTTCAATCATGTCAAGAATTTTTAGAAACTGATTGCATTTGTAATCAATTTGTTGTAATAAATATAATCCGAATCCGAGAAAAGGAATATTGCAGAATTTTAATTTTTAAGACTGAGATAACGTGGGCTGCTGTTTATGGAATAGGTGGGCATACCTGCCAACCCTTTACAAGTAATCTGGAATATTCTGTTTTTCTGGATTTCTAGGACCTGAAAATCTGGAATATTCAGATTTTTGGGGTGTTTTTTTGTCTGTGCTAAAATGCAAAATTAAACTTGTTTTATCATGTGCTCGATTTGAGAGTTCATGTTTCATGTGCGTTGAATGGCTGCATGATCGAGCGGCGAATTTGTATTCGCTTTTTGGTACAGATTTACCGCGTATTGCCAGTTACATTACCGCTGCAAGTGCAATTTCTTACTTTTGAAGGCATACCGTGCTAAAAATTCCTAAATCTTATTTTCAAATGTTGGCAGGTATGGGTGGGTTGTAATCAAATCATCTCTAAGGCCAAATAAAATAAAAACATGTTTAGCGTCCTGTTTTTTCGAAAAATAGGAAGGAGGAGGCCCTTCTTTTTTTTCTTCTTTTTTTTCTTTCAAAATGGCCGCTCAAAAAGGCCGCTCAAAAAGGCCGCTCAAAAAGGCCGCTCGGTACATTTTCCCTGACATTCGGGCTATTTTTCAAGATGGCGGCCAACATTTAAAAAAAAAAAATTTGTAATCAGAAATAGATCCATTTTAGCAGTGGTTTCAAAAAAAAAATAGGAGGCGGCCCCCAAAAAGGAAGCGGGCGGGGACGCTAAACATGTATATTTTTTTAAATGGCCTAACATGTTGAATTTGCCTGAATGCCAGAGTGGCAAACGTAGATTAATGCCTTGCTGAGCTGGGATTCGGACCCCCAACCCTCTGAATAAGAGTCAAGTGAATGAACCACTGTACCAAGACACTTCCACAATATATATGTCCTGGTCGAGTGGATATGTCACCGGACTTTAGATCACAAGGTCCGCGTTTCAAGTCCCGCCGCAGCACTAATGTCCTTTGGCAAGACATTGATCTACATTTGCCACACTCCACCCAGGTGTTCACCCAGGTACCCAGTAGTAGCAAAAATCAATGTGGTTAGATGAGGAGGTGAGCCTGAATCCGATGACCAGGATAATAATATATATCTGTTAATCGCTGTGAGAGGGCCTGTGGTCCTGAAAAGCACTATACATGAACGAACTATTATTATATTCCATTTTATTTCTTTAACTTTAGTTTACTGGGCGCTGTACAGCCCGAGATGGTGGCTATGTTCAAGAGTGCAGCAGAGGCCATCATAGCTGAGAAGGGGGCGGTGGCGGCGCTAGCGGCAGCTCTGGCTCACATAACAGGCTCCACAGCCATGAAGACAAGATCACTGCTAACGGCAGAAGAGGTGAGAACTTAGTAGTAGAAGTAGAAATACTAGCAGTAGAAATGGAAGTAAAGTTAATCGTAGTCATATGACAGATCTGATCTTTCATGGGATTTTCAATATCCATGTAGAGGCACAAGGATAGCAATAACTGTAGAAATAGTAGAAGGAGAAGTAGATGCAATGTTAATGACAGACGTAAGATGGATTTGTGTTCTTTTTGCGACCGTGGAGGTCCTTGTAGACGTAAGACCATAGTATTAGAAGTAGAATGGTAAAAGTAGCAACGTTATGGCAGACTTATGATGGATTCAAATTCTTCGCGAGATTGTTGAGATCTATTTACAATTTTGCGGCGATCGGTAATGTTGGAGTCCCCCCCTAAACGCATGAGGAGCTGAAAATAACCAGAGTCAGGGAAATAGGTGAGTTGGGTTGCGATTTAAAAGCATGTCAAAATAGAAGGAAGTCTGGGGCGGTATTCTGAACCCTGTGTTATCTCTAATATTGTTGTATCTTTGAAGATAAGATAAAGTTGGTATTCTGAACATTGTTGTAACTTTTGTGTTATCTTTTGTTGTATCTTTCTCTCATCTTATTGGCCGCGCCTGCGCTCATACTTTGGTGCACTTGTACTTGTGCGTATTATTAATAAAGTGGCATTTAATTCTCATTTGCATATGCGCACGGAGATAATATGTCGAGATAATTGGTATTCTGAAAGTTGTTGTATCTTTTATCTTATCTTATCTTGCATGGTATTTACAACAATATTTACAACAGGTAGGGGGTTGTTGTATCTTTCGTGGTGATATAATGGCGGCAATATTTTTTGCCCAGAACCAACTTCGTGCCAATAGACGAGTTAGAAGAAGATTGTGTGTTGACCGGAAACATCACAGATGAGAACTTTCCAAGATATTACATGCTAGGATAGGACTATTTTAATGCTCTCATCTTAACCAATATAGTGAAACTGATTTGTCTTCATGATCCACATTCAACAGCGCATAATGATGACGCGCGTAATAAGTGCTCAAATAACTAATTACGCCCAAGATTAGTATGCGCTAGGCGCATCTTCAGATATGGCATAAAGTATTCCTATTGGTTGATCTACGTATCATGCTTATATAAAATAGATTTTGATTGGTAGGGTCCATAAAAATGGGCGTGTCATCAATGGTCAAAGATAAGATAGAGGCGGTCCTTCAAGAGATAACACAGGGATAAAACAATGTTCAGAATACCAACTTACATCAATATTAGCGCTGTGTTATCTCTGGAAGATACAACAAAAGATAACACAAAACTTACAACAATGTTCAGAATACCACCCCGGGAATACTTATGGGGTTGAATTAAACAGGATCATCTGCCCGTTGACCTCTGCTGGTGTAGACCCCTGGGTGTCATGTTAGTATGAAGTAGTAATAGATGTAGCGGTCTGGGCAGTAGAATTAGTAGTAGAAAAAGCATAGGTTGTATTACCGAAGTTCCATCAGTTTCTATCAATTCTGGGGGGGGGGGGGGGGGGGTTCTGTGCCAAAATGATACCAACTTTCATTTTTAATCCACAAACATGGTTATATGGGTGCATCATTCAAAATGCAATGCCCCTTGACACCTAGGGCCTGTTTCTCAAAGCTTTTTTTCAATGACAAATGACAAAAATCAGTGACAAATCCGCTGATAAGCAATCAGAAGCAAGGATTTCAATAGCTTATAACACAAACTGTCATTTGTCACTGATGCCAATTTTGTGAAACGCCCCCCAGCTGTCTATTATATCCACCAACACGGGTGCCTAAGAGGACCATTTGAATCACAAGCTATATTGTCATTCTCACACAGGGTAAGACCACGTTCCTCCTTGAGACGCAATCGCAGCTGTTGGACATCGGTGATGTCTTCAAGACCCTCGGACGCTACATTGACCGTGACTCACGGAACGCCATCAAGGGCATCCGTCTGTGCAAGGATCAGACCGCGGCAGTCTTTGATGTTTCAGATGACCACAAGGACTATCTACTGGTAAGGAGCTATATAGTGATTTGACTGATCAGGGACCAGTTTCACAAAGCCTTTTTTCAATGACAATTGGCAAAAATCAGTGACAAATCTGCTGATAACCAATCAGAAGCAAGGATTTCAGTAGCTTATAACAAAAAATGTCACTTGTCACTGATGACAAGTTTTGTGAAACAGGGCCCTGGTTTATCCTTTAAAGTGGGTGGTTAGTCGGTTTCCATGTGCAGAAGGTCATAACTCCCTGACACTCAGACTTGAAGGCATTTGAAGAGCCATCATTTTCAAGAGACTTTTTTTTCTAAGGAACTCATCCACACTAAGACCCTGTTCTCATTCACTGCGTTGGAGCGGTCTAACTAAGACCCGTTCCTCGGGAGCAGTTCTTAGGTGAGTGAGAACGGTCAAAGTGGTCCAGGAAGTGGACTTCTGGACCGCTCCAGAAGACCACCTCGGGAGGTGGTCTTGAGGAACGGGTCTTATTAAGAGCGGTTTGGACCGCTCTAACGTGCAATGTGAACGGAAGCATACTTTGACCGGAAGTGAGCTAGTGACGTTCCGTGCGAAACATGTAGTAACGTACATACGGTTTGTATTCCGCGCGCGAAAAAAATTGACCTGCTGACCTGAGCTGCTTTAGCAACAAGACCACTTTGACTCATGGAGCGGTTTGAGCCATAAAAAACTGTTCAGAGTGTGAATGCTCGCAAACCGTTCCTCAAGACCCGTTCCTCTGGAGCGGTCTAACTAAGACCACTTTCAAAGTGAGTGAGAACGGGGTCTGATATAAAAAGAATTAAAAAGCTTACAAATTACTTTTCACTTTTCCTAGAACTCAACCTTCTCTTTTAACTGAAAGTCAATCATTATAAAATGTATAGTAGTCTATGTTACAGATATCATATACTTGGAAAGGTCATAGTTGGGATTTGATATACTGTACAAGTATGTTCGTTATCACAAAATTGCACACAATGAAATTGAAGACATCCTGTGTTGAGCTTGACCGCTAATTACATCTTTCCATTGACAGCAATTCGTGTTTTATCCATCATTCACCTGTCTTCTCAGGCTCCTTAGTAAGACAATGTAATACCCTCCTATAGCTCATCAAACACCACTGCAAAGATTTCATTGCAATTTCTAATTTCGTTCTTTTAACTTGCTATTACAGTCATTATGGCAGGACACGTCTGAAGCTCAACTCACCGTCGCAGCGGAACTCCCAGAGCTCCTCGTCTCCACCCAGTCTGGATCCTTTGATGACCGGAGAGGTGGCGGAGGCTACGGAGGAGGAAGAGGTGGAGGATACAGGAGAGGAGGAGGAGGAGGGGGATGGGGTAACAGGAGTGGTGGAGGGGGCGGGAGAGGCCGTGGGGGAGGAGGAGGATATGGGGGACGTGGAAGGGGAGGATGGAGTGGAAGTTACAAAAAGTTTTAAAATCTGTATCTCGCCATAGCCTTTGTATAATGTGATCATTGAACCATTCTCCTTTACTGCTAGGTAGTGTGTTGCCATTGAACAGACTTTTAAAGCCCCACTGCACTAGTTTGGTCAGGAGGGATTGGACCTCCCTGCATGGTCACTGAAAGGTGGTTATCTCATCAAATCAGCTGTCAATTAACATTAAGAAAAAGGGGACCATGGGGGACTAATGGTCATGGATTAGGCATTGTTTGCTATACAGAGGGCACAAGTAGCTATAAGTAGTGCTGTGGGGCTTTAAAAGTGTTTGCAATCATGTTGATTTTCTAATTAAGATAATCGACCTGAATTTAAGGACAAAGCGTACTGTTTATGCAGTGATCGATAGCATTTTATAGACACATCTCCTTCTGGCACAAAACTCTTCCAAGGGCAACAAGTTTCAGATTTTCAAATATAACGTTAACACCCAGGTATCCTATGGAACAGGGACACTACTGATTCAGCCAATTTGAAGCACCTAACGTACAATGATTACAATTGTCAAAAAATGTATTACTTTCTTATTATATGACCAATTTCATTCAAACTTGCACCAGTCTGCTTCTGATTTTCTGATTTCTTTTAGAGTAGTTATCAATTGCAGTTTGATATTCCTTTTACTCAGGAAATGATGACAATTAAGTCATGGATTGGGTTCTAGTGGTCAGACATGTATTATCTCGGTTGTCCATAACAACGACAATGCTACCGATCACTGTGATTGGAATAGTAGTATTACTATCTGCTAATACATGCTTTAAAAATAACTCAATCCCGTAACAAGGACCAAATCTATCTCCATGGAACAGCTGATTTGAATTCAATATCAGTTAACCCTGTCAAGACAAAATTTATTTTTAGGGCTAAATTGATTATGTCTAAATTTGCAACAATAATATTTTTCTTTTATTGCTTCACTTTTGAGGTAAAAATGACTTGCATTCCTCTGGCAAATAAGTTTCCCTGTATGATGACTGAGTGTAAAACAAATGTTTGTGCTGTGAGCCAACCAATATCAATACAAACTTCTCTTAGGTTGCTGTGCAGGGCAGCCTCAGGCAGACAGGGGATAACTGGTAGCCTCGTAGGGAAATCCCCTCCCGATGTTTACACTGAAATTCATCGTAAATCTTGGACAGAACATCAGCATTTTCGGCACATATGTGTCTTTTGATAGAAGTGGAAAAATATGAGGAAATATTCAACAAGTTTTATTCCCATGTTCCTTTTTAGCTTCCAGAGTTAGATACCGGTACCCTTGTATTATCTTCAAAGTAATATTGCTGTTGACTTGAACCATATAGTTTCATTTGAAATGCTGTATATTTACCAAATTGTAACCTTGATCAATGTGGGTAATATATACATATTTAATATCATGTAAACAAATAATAATTTCATTGTTGCACATTTGTTGCCTCAATATTCCAACAAGTATTTTATGCAGAGATTATGAATACATTTACTTGTTTTCAAGTTGTATAGGCATTTATTTTATTTCCTCATTTTATGTAACTGGTATGAGATGACTTCATGTCTGTTTAGTATTCACATATTTCTATTTCATTTATTTCATGTTGTCTAGCAAAAAAAACCTAAGCCTAGGCATTTTAAAAGATGGCTATATTTTTTTCTCCCTTATTGCTTTTATCTTTTTGTTTATTTCACTTTTCTTGTGAGAGAATATCATCATAATATATATTCAAATAATTACCATCATGCTATGTCATTATCTGTTTTATTTTATTGAAAAAACAGCACACTTTATTTGTTTTTACATGGCATTCCTCATTCTTATATTATGTAAAATAATCTTGTTCAAATTTTATTTCTTTTTATCCTTTTTATTTATGTGCTTTGTTTTTATGATTTAAGAAATGTTCATGGTAAATCATGTATAGCATCATTAAGGGATAACAAGAATATTTACAGCTAATTAAATAGAAATAAATTCCTGTTTGTAAATACAAAGAACATAGATGTGAACATGGTTTATATTGGATTGATGCGGATATGATGTATGAAATATACAAAGAGTTATGAATGGAGTGTAGGAGTGCTTGATGGAATGGAGACAGATGATGAGTGGTCAAAGACGGCTGGAGAGCCCTAGAAACTGCTCTAAAAAAGCGTGGGTGGTAATAGTAATAATGATATTAATTTTAAAAAACGGTGCTTATAAAGCGCTTACCACCGAAGTCTCTAAGTGCTATTTATAAAGAACAAAATACAACAATAAACAATCGCATATTAAACAAAACAACAAATTACAATACATATGAAATATACATTAATGTGAACAGTGCAAGTTAATCATCAAAAGCAATTTTGAATAAATGTGAAATGGTTGACGGTCTGACAGAGTAGTCCTGTAGAAGTTTTTCAGACCCGGAAAAGCTGTTGAGTACAAGGTTTTTTGGTTGATTTGTGTTCTAGATGGGTATTGAAGTAAATTCAGCCAGGTTGCCAGCTTGGCAACCTTGGGCAACTTTTTTAATAGCCATATTAGCATAATCATCTAATTAGCATATGTGCAATATGTAATAATGTTGCTTATCTCAATCCAGGAAGCCTGAAAACATGTATAATATGACTTTTAAAGGGTTTTATATGACAAGGAATTCATTTATGACACCAATTTTTTATTTTTAAGTAATACAATTGTCTTAAATAGCATAATTAGCATAATATGTACAATATATGGACTTCATTGTCATTGTTTATCTATAAAGCCTAAAAATGGTGCAATGCAACATTGTGAATCACTTTTGAAAGATTAATCATTAATTCATGAGAAGATATTCCATGTGTATGTTGTAGAATTAGCCTAATTAACCTAATAATCTAATTAGCATATAATTATGTGCAATGTGTAATAATGTTGCTAATCTCAATCCAGGAGGCCTGAAAACATGAATAATACGACTTTTCAAGTGTTTTCTATGACGAGGAATTCATTTATGACACCACTTTTTGGTTCCGAGTAATGTAATTGTCTTAAATAGCACAATGAGCATTAATGAGCTAATAAGCATGTGTACGATATATTATGGACTTCATTGTCATTTTTATCTATAAAACCTAAAAATGATGCAATGCAACATTGTAAATCACTTTTGAAAGACTAATTATTAATTAATGAGAAGATATTCCATGTAGATGTAGTATAATTAGCCTAATTAGAATGTATGTGCAATATGTAATAATGTTGCTAATCTTAATCCAGGAAGCCTGAAAACATGGATAATATGACTTATCCAGGAATTCTGCCACCAGCTTGAGCAACGTCGGGCTTGTACTCTCAATGATTCTGGCTTTGGTTATAGACAGATCATAGTTCGCACTGTTGTATTCAACATCCCTGGCCTATGTACGTACCTGTCTCACCACATCATCAATTCCATCATTGTCATCTGCTTTAACCATCTTCAGTGTGTTTCCGACAGTCTCTCTAAATCCAATGACTGAAGCTCAACCATCAATGCGTATGATGACCTCGTAATTTCCTCATTTCATAAGGTTTGACAACATTGCCTTAAGACCAAGATAACCACCACATTGGACATACGATTTGTGAAGCTAAATAGAGTCCCAAATAATTGATATTCTACATATATGCTAGTTAGGCATATTAGTACAATAATTACATATTAAGCCAATTGCATTACTTAAAAATAATAAATGGTATCACAACTGAATCCCTCGTCATGGAAAACCCCGGAAATTCATATTATCCATGTTTTCAGTCTACCTAGATTAATATTAGCAACATTATTACATATGGCACATACAGTGTATATGCTAATTAGGCTAATTATACGACATTTACATGGAATATCTTCTAATGAATTAATGTGTAGTCTTTCAAAAGTGATTTACAATGGTGCATTGCGCCATTTTTAGGCTTTATAGATAAACAATGACAATAAAGTCCATATATCGTACATATGCTAATTAGCTGATCATGCTATTTAAGACAATTGCATTACTCAAAAAATAAATATTGGTGTCATAAATGAATTCCTCGTCATGGAAAATCCTTGAAAAGTCACATTATCCATGTTTTCAGGCTTCGTGGATTAAGATTAACAACATTATTACATATTTCACATACAGTGTATATGCTAATTAGGCTGATTATACTACATATACATGGAATATCTTCCCATGAATTAATGATTAATCTTTCAAAAGTGATTTACAATGTTGCATTGTACCATTTTTAGGCTTTATAGATAAACAATGACAATGAAGTCCATATATTGTACATATTATGTTAATTATGCTATTTAAGACAATTGTATTACTTAGAGATAAAAATTGATGTCATAAATGAATTCCTTGTCATATAAAACCCTTTAAAAGTCATATTATCCATGTTTTCAGGCTTCCTGGATTGAGATAAGCAACATTATTACATATTGCACATATGCTAATTAGATGATTATGCTAATATGGCTATTAAAAAAGTTCCCCAAGGTTGCCAAGCTGGCAACCAAGCTGAATTTACTTCAATACCCATCTAGAACACAAATCAACAAAAAAAAACTTGTACTTATCAGCTTTTCCAGGTCATGTACATGGCATATGGTACCGTCTACTGGACTAGAGTGAAAGTTTTTGATATGTAAAGGTAGTTTGTTCCAGAGTTCAGCACAAGCTTTGCAAAAAGATAGTACTGTGCATTTTCTCTCTTTCATATTAGAAACCAAATTACTATTATTATCATTCTACAAGACGATTACTGATGTCCAAATTTCAGTTTTGATAATTCATACAAAATGTTGTTATCCTGCAGGGTTTTTTGTTTTATTTATTTCACATATTTTAAAAAATGGTAGCCCAATCAGCATATGCATTGGTTTTCGTTTGGGCCCTTTAAAATAAGAACAAACTATATACATTCCAAAAACTTGTGAATACGACAAAATTGAACAATTCATTATACAACCAACAATAACTGCATATCACGTTACAAAATATAAAAATGCAAATTTGGATATAAATAAAAACAAAATAAGGAGGAGAAAAGTTTTTTAATTACTATATATATGAAGGATGGGAGTAGGTACGTGCCTGTCTAGCGTCTTCCGATTTACAAATAAACATTTGAAACAAAATGAATTAATTAAAATTAAACATTTAGAATAGAACCGTAGTTGCACGCAAGATTATTTACAAAATAAATGTGGCTGGCATGATGCCACATTTTACTATCCACCTGCTCCCTTATTAGGAAGTTATATTTCATATCTTGAAAACTGATTGTGATCTGATTATGATGAGGAAGAAAAGAAAACAACATCCAGAATGAGTGGGAGTTAAAGTAATCACACCATTTCCTAATATGTCGTGCAGCAGGGTAATTGTGTGATAGAAGTTTGTTTTAATTGTTGGTATGCGTAATCGCACTAAAAGAGAGTTTCCCAAGTTATGATGCATTGACCATGTTGTGGAAGGTAGGGTTACTTTATAGGGTGAAGGATGAGGAAGAAAATTAACATTCATAATGCGTAGGAGTAAAATTGATCACACCATTTCCTAATAAGCAGTGCTACAGGGTAATTGTGTGATTGACGTTTGTTTTAATTGTGGTATGCGTAATCGCATCAAAAGAGAGTTTCCCAAGTTAAGATGCATTGGTCATGTTTTGAAAGGTATGGTAAGGGTGATGGATGGATGAGGAAGGGGAAAACATTGAATGAGGGGGACTAAAAGTCATCACACTATTTCCTAATATGCAGTGCTGGTAATATTTTATTGACTTTTATATAATGGTATTTATTCTATAGTCATCATCGCAGCTCGATAGCTGAATTGCAAATGATCTTACAATAAAAAGTGCATCAAACTTAATTAATTAGAAACGGCGTAAAACATAAACAAAATATTTCCTCATGATAATAATGGGATTATTACGATGGAACAGGAAAAAATGTTTCTATTCCAAATTAGGCTTGAAAGGGAAGTAGAAAAGGAGTAGCTGAGTTATTAGATAATAATTAAGTATACTTAATCACGGTAAATTGTTTGTTTTAATTGTCGTCTTATTGACTAATCGAGCCAAAAGAGGGTGCTCCAAGTGATGATACATTGATCATGTTTAGGAAGCTAAGAAGCTAGGAAATTAGTTAAAGGTAAAGACCAGTTATGGTCATGCGAATGCATTGTGAAAGAAACGTTGTGGAATCGATCAGAAAAGGTTGATCATCTAGCATCTAGCATCTGCAAGGTTCTGGAATCATCAAAATGATAAGAAATTTGGCCCATTCTTCGTAAAGTTACAAGCACTATACACAGAAAGATGTATATGGGACTACCCTATATCTCTCACAGACCATGAGAGAAACAAATTTACCAAATATATGAATTAGTAGGCAGTTTCCCGGCAAATTTTTCATCATCATGTATTAGTCAAAACATATTCTTTCACATGATTGGTAATGAGAGCTTCCATTTCATTTTTGAAATTTGGGCGTTTCCAATACTGGTCTTTACCTTTAAATAATGTTAAGAATTAACACCTTCCTTATGCCCCATTTTCGTGTCTATATCTATTCATATTGTTTTGGGTCCATCAAAATAACCATTTGAAAAAACATCGCATGAAATACATGTAAATGCTTTTAAAGGCAACATTTCTAGGTTATTTAGGCCTTCCCCAAAAGCATTTCCGAAATGCCCCTAAGAAAGTTGTTGGCTTAAAAATTGCAAAAACGCCAGCTGTAGTCACATGCGATTATCAGTGTTTCATTTCAATATTTGTCTCTTTGCTTTCTGTACTATTTCCAATGTAGTTTCCGTTCTTTTTTTTCTCTCCTTTTTCCCCCTTCTGTTATCACCATCATTATCACATATCAGTCATCGTTGCTGCATCATCTCTCTCTCTCTCTCTCCCATTTACTCTCTTCTCCTCTACAATCCCCCTCTCTCTCTATCTCTCTCTTTCTGTTCCCCTTCCCCTTCTCATTCTCTCTCCTCCCCCACCTCTTCTCTCTCTCTCTCTCTCTCTCTCTCTCTCTCTCTGTCTCTTCGCCTACCCTTTCCCTTTCTCTCTCCTCCCCCACCTCTTCTCCCCCACCTCTTCTCTTTCTTTCTCTCTCTCTCTCTCTCTCTCTCTCTCTCACACACACACACTCTCTTCCATTTTCACGCCACTCGCCAGCGGTTCCCCTCCCCCCTCTCTCTCTCTCTCCAATTCTCCCCTCCTCTCTCTTGTTGTTGTTGTTTGTAAATGTTATAAAATGTGAAATGATATAAAAAATTGAACTATAACAAAATGAATTGGGAGTAGTTATCAACTCTCTCTTTGCTCTCTCTCTCTCTCTCTCTCTCTCTCTCTCTCTCTCTCTCCCTCTCTCTCTCTCTCTCTCTCTCTCTCTCTCTCTCTCTCTCTCTCTCTCTCTCTCTCACTATCTGTTTCTGACATAGCTCCATTCACTAGATTTTCCTTATGCACTATTGTTCATTGTGTTTGTCACGCTCATGAAAAAGTCGAATAAAAATGAAACAAAATTCAGCCGTATTTGCAAAGGTATCAAAAAGTTTATCACAAAATCTAGTTTTAAAAGTAAGTAATACACACATTGTATCCTTAGAAAAAAAGTACCTCAGAAAGTACATTAGGGAAGTACTGCAAACTTACAGATGCGAACAGAGAAACAATCATAGACAGTACAAAACAAAGAAACAATTATACACAGTACAAAACAAAAGCGATACAACACTAACATCTTCATAATACCTGCATGTACATGTACGGCAACATACATTTCCAAATTTCAAAGCAGATCCATGAAGGTAAAGTATCTTTAAAAGATTTCGATGCAAATTCAATTCATTTTGCAATACTATCCAGAATTAAACATCACTACATCATTCAATAAGCATTCAAGTTATTCGCAATTACAGCACAAAATTTGATAGTAATACATTACTAAGTACATGTATAACATTATTAAGTAGAAATGTAATAATTCATACATTTGAGATCAAGTTGAATCTTTTTATGAATTGAAGCGTGCATTGAAATTACTAAAAATGACGATTTACAACCAAAGTTTTTTGCATGAAAAAAAGCCGTGTCATTTTGGTTCACAATAAATGCTCCCTATTCCAGCTAAGCTGCCATCACCATTAATTAATACGCATTGTATACGAAGTAAAATGAAAATAAGTTATAAAGACCTTTTAAAGGTTACTTAAAACGCGTACCACACACTGTATGGCCAATCTTAAATTTGTATTCCCCATTCTATTTATAATTCGGAAGAAAGCAATCAAAATTAATTAGATCTTTACAAAAGAACAGAGAGACAACAGAAGTACACTCGTCTATAATTATAATCAGTCGTTAAAGCACACGAGAGGGCAACTGGCAGTAGAAGAATATTGATTTACAAAATAATGTAACTATTGGTGAAGCTGTTACTTTTAAAGGAAATAGTGCATAGATTTAAAGGAATCGGTGATATTCCGTAACTAGAATATACGTTGGATAATATGCATTGTGGTAAAAAGAGCACATGCATGTTATTGGAAAAAGTCCCAGACGATAACGGCTCGAAAATGAATATGTGGGACTATATAGTGTGACATTATTTCTTCGCGAACTCCTTTTGTGACCACCGCACACGGGGTTGGCGGGATAATATAATGACCATAGACGAGTCATAAATAAACTGTCACGAAGTCTGATCGAATGAAGACATTATGTGTCCTTTAACTCTAACTGACGATTTAAAGTTCTGACGTTTAACGAGCCACTTCTTACTCAATAAATCGCTACTCCTACGCCTTCAAATTTGAAGGATAGCTTATTGGGCGTTGACCGGAAAACTTGGTTTAATATCATTCTTTCATCATCCATTTGGTATCTGTTTCGAATCCAGAATAGGACATTTAATACAATCCCTGTTTAATGTTTATTTCACAGGTATTCTTTTATAGATCGTTCCGAAATTAGACGCGGATGTCATGCTTTCGATGCGCACAAAACATAAATTATTTCCTCCTCTTCTCGCCGGCCCACTCCCTTAAATACATGTCACACGCGTGGTGATGATGATGATTAAGTACAATACATTGAAGTATATTGAGTGGAAAGTGGCGCCAACCGAGTGTCATTATTTCAACGAAACTAATAATCATGCACCTAATTTTAGCTGATACATGTATTTAATTGCTATATCACATAGAGCAAAGCATTCATGTCCAGCAAGTTGATTTATAAATGATACGATGGGCATCACTTTGCTGAATATACGAGTTATGGAGAGGGCTTCAAATAGGAGGAGGGATGAAGGAGGAGGGATGAAGGAGGAGAGAGAGTGGGAGGAATGACGGAGAACGAGAAACGGAAGCAGAATAATTACGAAGTGACTCTTCCTTATATGTATCGAATGCCCAAACTGTTTACAGTCGATGACTAATCAAAACAAATGAGAGCGAACAACAATGGAGAATATATATACAAACAAAACGATGACGCTAAAAAACATCTATAATACTATATGTACAATATATATATTTATAACAGCCCATGTCAAACATGGCCATAAGTACAACATACACATGAGATGTCAAAAATAACGAACAGTCTGTCGAGAGCCAGAAGGGCGTTAACTCTGTGTAAAATTATGAGTTAATTCCCTTCTGGCGCTCAGTTGACGATTTACGATGTAATCTTTTACGAACTTTTTAAATTGAAATCTAATTTCAATTTGAGATGAGCTTATCAATCGAATAAACCACCACAATAACAACATTTTCAAAAAATCATTTTGCATGATATTACATAATAATACATCGAGTCTCGCAGAAATAAAGACGAGCCATGTTCATCTTAGAAACAACTGTCTGATCAGAGCAGAAGGGCATTAACTCCTAACATTTTCCACAGGTTTAACACCCTTCTGTTCCACAACAAACGAAACACTCTGCTACTATACTCTGCAATCGGTGGCTTTGAACAGTTTTGCATATATCATAATCAATTACAAATCATTGAATGAATATATTTCCTCAAAATAACAACATCACTAAACCATAGCTATTCGTTTCTTTAGAAGGGAATGCAATCGAAGACTCTAATCTACTCTACAAGATAATCTACATGCCTTGTAAGTACTCGTACTACTGCGCAATTAATTCTGCAGAGAAGAAACAGACACACTTAAAATGAATTTGATTCTAAGAGCATTGTGATAATCATGACCAATCAATTTTTTTTCTACAACAAAAAATAATTTGTGAAAATCACGAGACTATTAAAAGGGATAGCATAATGTACGTGGATGTGTAATTAAGGTTATTTCAGTTCATGCACTATACTTTCAAGTGTACTAATTAAAAACAGTTCCGTATCCGTTTGTATCATCAAGAAAGTGCACTATGATCATGCACTAATCCTTCATCCTCGACCTATAGTAGAGAAACTGAACGCGTCGTACAAGATCAAATTTCAGTCAAGAAACGATCAAATGTCATAACAAAACCGAGACTCATGACGAAAAATAACATGTTGGAAGTATGATGAATAAAAAAAGTGTTCTTCAATTAGTGTGATAATAATGGAAGACATTTATCACGGAAGTACTTTTAATGTCAACGAGATTTTGACTAGGTTTCTTTTTTCAATCACAGATTAGAAAAGGAGGCACATTGTGCACAAACTTGTAAAAATCCACGGCAATCTATAATAATACGGATTAAGGCATAATGTTGCTTTCGTCGGAAGTTCAATCGTGAATTCACACAGAGGAAGTAGGAATTGTTTTTCACATCAAACCTTTCGAGAAGTATCCGCCGAAACTGAAGACGATGTCGCTCCTTGCCTTGCATTCAAACATTTTTTCTTCCCACTTCAAAAAGCTGTTAGATAGTGTCGATGTTAAAGCACTCACAGGTTTTGAAAAGTACGGAAGAACACTCTAAATAGTTTTTGTTTGACGCATATGAAATCCAACTACACTTTCATTTTTGCGAATCTCGTCGCCACTTGAAAAAAAGTTTCGGAGTTAAAAAATCACACATCCATCGTCGCTGTCATCATGTTTCTTTGCAGCCACATCTTGGAAAATATGCACAAGCGGGACAAGATTGTGAGACGTTGTAATTATTTTGCTTTCCAACGCCTTCCTCCAAAGATGTCTTGCTTCGATCGAGCTCAAATTCAATGCGACGATCCGCCGTAATTCCAGTTCGATCTGGTTTAAACCACCCTCGACTGGTTCAAACTAGGTGGTAGCGTGACGGCTTGCACTTAAAAACACTTCATCCCGAGTTCAATTTCAAGTTTATAAGGACTCAGAGTTGATGAAGGAGATAGTTGGTTGGGTCGGCATATGCACCTGTGATGTAAAACAAATGAATTGAAGAAAAACAAATCGGGATTAGAGATGATTTGCCAGTATGATCAGTATTTTGATTACAATTTCTATGGGTGACGAGAATCTAATATTTCCATTTCTTTCAGTTTCTAATCAATTGGTCTCTTTGTCATTATCGTTAATGAGAACTTGGAACAGTAGTGTTTTTTCCTTCCTTGTAGCATTAGTGGGTTTTCCTTCCTTGTATCATTATATCCAAGGTTATCTTTTCGTGATCTAGTCTGTTTTGTAATCGATAGATTCTAACAAAAATGCACTTTCACTGAAGAAAAAAAGACCAGTCAAATACTAGGCAAAAGCTATTTAATAAAAACATTGTTGATTTGTTCATAAATAAACACTTGATTTCAAGTATGCAACTTTTGGGGAACTTGTCCAGATTCAAAAGACGAATTAGAACTCAATTTACTTCCTTCTTATAAGTTTATTGCGACCTTTGATTTGTAAGCTGAACCAGATCGCAAAGGCTTTCTAAATATTAACCTCAGGCAATTTAATAAGCCCGTCCACCGACTTTAGAAACGTGCGAACATTACAATAAGTTATAAAGCAAACCGAACTTGATTTCTATGGGAAATGCAATAGAGAATTTAAATGAGATCTTTTTTTTAAAGTCTTTGCGACCATCATGCAGTAAAAAGACATTTAAGAGGGGAACGTTTGGATCACATAATTTTGATATGTCCTTATCGCGAGGACTGAAAAACGATCAAAACTACTTATATTTACCTTGATGTTGTGCATTGAGACAGATAGAAGTTTGTTGAGCAAAGCCATTGAGCATGTGGTTTTGGTGCTGGGGCGCAGCCTGCATGGAATGGTGGGTCTCGGGTTCGACTTTGATGTGGGTCATCATAGGGGTTTGTTCGTAACCATTCACATCCCCAGCCATCACTCCTAGAGAAAGATGAAAATGTAAAAATTATATGTCAGATAAGAAGAAATTGTTGGTTTTACTGGACCATAACGTTGTTCAACTTTAGTTCATCATTCAATTCAATATCAATTTATTTATGTTTCCAACAAAACATTACAAATCAATTATAAACATTTACAACAATTTAGGAATACATATTGGAAACAAAGGGGTCCACTAAAAAGCAATGCTTAAATGAACTACAAAAGGAACTACAAAATAGGGGAAAAGGAGATGCCAACAGAGACAAGAACGGGGCAAGACAGTACTTTACATGACAAAGATAGGAGATACTTTCAAATACTGATACTTTCAAAATTCATCTGAACAAGATAATTTGATGAACAATTTTGTCTTTTTGTTAATCTGTCAGTTTGAGGAGAAGACTTACTGTTATTTGTCATGGCCATTGTCTGGTAGTTGTTCCCCCCGAAGAATGCCTTCTCGTCTTGATGCTGCCTCTGGTTGCTCCAGCAGGAGCTGTAATCCATGGTGGCGTCCAGGTTGTTGTTCCCGTCCAGCGGGGACATGCTCCGGGAGCTGTGCCCAGGACTCTGGTCTTTCAGCTCCATCACCAGCTGAAAAGAGAGACAAAAGAGGACAAAAATGGAGAAAGGGTAAATTCAATGTTCCTGTTTGGGGTCTGCTGAGAACCCGAAGGGCTTTAAAGGCATCGTTTAACAATGTTAAATCTGAGATACATGGCCCTACGTGTTATTAGTGTCTGTGATATGGTGTAATATTGAAGCCTCAAAAATATTGCGCTTCGAAATGATCATGAAGTGCCTCAAAAAAGTATAAATCTTTGAGTGACCGGTTTTGCCATAATAATTTTCTTCAATAGACTGTAGTGTTATAAAAACCGTTAGGAAAACGAAAATGAAATTTCGATTTCCAATTATAAATATCTTGATATCAGACAGGCGACTGGCTTGTAATAGTCATGGGATTCCTAAATGTTTATAATTATATGATTGCAGCATGAGCTAAATCCAGGATTTTGTTTCAGAATCTGAGGCAATGTTACCGAGTCAGGTCAACTGTAGTCTGGGGTTGAATTAAATTTGCTATCAGAATACCGTCCATTTACTTTTAATGGAGTTAACGCCCATCTAGCTCTAAGCGGACATTATTGTATTTTAATATTTTTAATTGTTAACTAACTTTTTATGTGGACAGCGAGTGTCTCAAGAAGTGGTTTAGAGGCATGCATTTATCGGCAAATTTGGAGGTATTGTGTTTTTGTAATTACAAATTTGCCGGCATCGCTCGTCGGTAATTTTGGATTCGCACCTCCAATTCAAAGTGTCATAATTATGGGCGCCCCAGAATTTGGATTGTGAGGTTTTGTTTTTGCCTTTATTGCATGAGTGCAGTAATTTAAGAGGGATCGGTACCAAGAGGGGCACCGTGTTTGTTTTGGTTAACTAGACCTGATTGAAGTCAATGGGGATTTAAAGTGCTTCAGTTAGTTCAATTTTGTTGAGGCAATCACTTTTTTTGCCTACCTATCACCACCAACATAAACAAATATGCGGTTGAATGCTCTCCACTTTTCCCACCTAAAGACCAGAACACAAGTACTATCAAAACAGGACTCTCGCTAACCAAAACAAATCAAAATCGACTTTTTCACCGGCTCTCAAGACTCTCTCACGCGATCCCCTCATTAACTCCAAAAATTGGTTTATTTTGTTCACCTGACATTGTAAACTAATCACTTGGATAATTAACTCACAACTCCGTGCTAAAGTCTATATTCTTTCGGAAGTCGGCGCTGGGGTACGCTTTTAGTAAAACAACCTGATATTGGAATGATTTTGGATAAATTTCTCATGATTTAAGCACCTGTATGAAGGTGTTGTCGGGACAGGAAGTATGGACTACTAATTGTAATTAATTAAAGGTAATCAAGAGAACAACAGGGGCTGGAAAAAAGTAGAGACGGAAACTCAAAAGTTGTTTTTAGGCGGCCGGAGGTGAACGATTCAAACAATATTTATGATCCGTTCATTAATTGTGATTAAAGTGTCATTATGTTAATGATATACGAGAGAAGGAAGTTAACATAATCTTCCAATGTTTATAACGACCCTTTCTGTCAGTAGGATATAGTTGGTTTTAAAACTTCTTATGCAAATAAACCAGGGTTATTATATGCATCCATTTACTTAGTAATCACGCAAGTAGCCGACGATGTTTAAATTTACGATGTTAGAATAGACCATTCTTTGACTCAATAGTTCTCTTACATAACTTAACATGATAGAAATAACAGAAAATAAGAAACATTCTTCATGTGATAAGAATTAAAGTAAATACAGTAAAACCTTTCTATCAAGGCCACCCAATTTTTAATCATATCATATCGTTGATAGTTTTTTTTGTTAATGGATCAAAACCTATACTAACGACATTCCTCAAGCAGTTTATGTGTGTTTAATGACATTTAAAAATATGAGTTGAGTTGTTTTCTTACATTTGCTACTTCTTCCTCCGACATCCTTCCGCACGAATCGCTGTCACTTAGATCATCTGAAAGACGAGGGGTATAGAAACAAAGACATAAATAATTAATAAGAACGAACGGATGAGAATTAAACAGAGAGGGATAAAAGTAGGCAATAAATAAACAATTCGGGAGGAAATTAAGCTGTAAACTTGAGCTCGTGGGAAAATATGACTCTTCAAGTGGAATTGGGAAACTGCGAACACCGCTGCGGCTTCCGCAGTAGCTCAATGCTTCAATACCATGTTATTCCTAAATGTATTTGTTAGCTGAATCCATTGCACAGGCCTCAACGTTAGCCCACCTGTTTTATTTCACGCAGGCTATTTATTCGAGGGAGCAGCGAAAGGATTTCCTCCGCAATTGTTTGTCTAGGCCGGATCACGGTCAAAGTGGCGGAAATTTCGGTGATGCATTTAAACTCTTAACCGCTCAAATCATAACAATGTGTAGAAGCATTAACAAAGCCAGTGTTCTGATTAATTTATGACGAAGCAATTAATTGATGAAACAAAAGTGCTTAGCTAGCTGTTGTTTATCCAGATAATGGTTCAAGTAACAGTCACATAGCTTTTGAAAACAAAAAAACCTAATAGGTTTGTTTTAAATGCATTCTAAACCGAAACATATGTGGTTGTAAACAAAATTGAATCAAAAGAGTTTCAAAATAAGTTGAAGTTTCTTCTACTCCTCTTTTTCTTAAACATGAAAATTATTTGAGCTTCCGATTATGTAGATTTAATTCCCATATCCTTAACTTCATTTTTAACTTACCGTGATAGCTTTCGTAGCCCATTTGATTTTGATGACTCATCTCAAATCTTGCCTCCATGTTAAACCCTAACCGGTATTGCATCTCCTGTCTATTATTCATGACCACTTGGTACGGCGGCGGCGGCGACTGCGGCGTGCTGGCCGGCGTCGACGCTACCGTGCTGCACGGCGAAACGCACGTGCTGTGTGTCATGGTAGACGAGTAGGCATTCGGTGAAGCGAAGTGGTGGCCGTTGGTGGGCATCGAGTACGGGGTCGTCGGCGACTGGAGGGTGGATGGGGGCGACATCGGTGACAGCAGCGCATGGGAAGAGACTGTCGATGATAAACCGTTTGGCGGGTTGAAAACGCACTTGACGTTGAGGCTCATTCGATCTAAAAAAAAAAAAAAAGATACGGAAGGAAAATGTTTATGTTATTAAAATGCTGCCGTATATTTTCACCGATATGTGTATCTTTTGATTTTAAAGGTTTTCTTACACATGATTCATGCTCTTCTCAAACTGGTTGAATACTATGGACTTGAATTACTGATGTGTATTCTGAGTACACTGGTAATTCCAGCGTCTGTTGACGATGTTTAAAACCACTTTACAGAAATGAAATTACAAGGTCTTCACAATTCGTCACGAAACAAATATGATACGCATAAGAATTACATGTCAATTTGATTTGATAGAGAGAGGTAGGGTAGCGAATTGGGAGTATGAATGATGAAGAATGAGAAAAAACCACGAACGAATACTCAGGGAAACTATTACTAAGGAGAACTATGATTAACATAGGAAGGACGCCAAAAATGGCTAAAAACCTAACAATTTCGAGGAACTGTAAGGTCTGAAGAGTTTCCATGAAAATGACGCCTCGGACTACCCCGAGGGAAATAACCAATCGTTTCCTACATTCTCGGACTACGCACTTGTAAACGTCCGCCCGTCCTATACCAATGGTCCGACCTAGCAGTTACAGACAAGGTCCGGTTTTGGACGATGAAGACGAAAAATACTAACAATTTTTAGCTTTTTCATTATATTTACGTAGGTTTAGAAGAAAAAGATTTGCTCTTCAGATTGCTACATATTCGAACTATGACGAGGGATGGCTGAAAAATTTGGCGCAAACTTTAATGCCACATGGGTGTACCCTATGTGCAAGTACATTGGATTTTCAATAAGAGAGGGCCTGCAAATTCTTATTATTTATTTTAAGGCTACAAATGGCTCTACATAATGTTTAAGTCCAACTTAGAGTTAAGTTCGACTTAGGATCTTTGTGAAACGCCCCCAGAACTCAAATAACTCCTACTCCTACGTCCTACGAAACCATGCAATACAACAGCTAGCACAGTGGGATTCCCTCAACACAATCAGCGCCTTAGGTACTCTCCCGGCACCATCCGACCCATGGAAAAAACAGATATTCTCAGAAATATTGATAGTCATATCCATCCGTAATGCACTGTATTTGACCCAATTCGTTCAGTAATTCTACTTTTTATAGGAAGTAATCCATAGTACTTGTCCTTTTTTCCACGAAATGGACTAAAAATACTGCCGAAGTACACGCTATGGATGAACAGGCGTCACGATTGATATACCTTGCCGTTAGGTTGGCTTCGAGGCCATTTCACTTATATCAAAGTACAGAGCAACTGAACAATGTTGCAAATTATTGCTAATTAATGGCTATTCTCACCTCAAATCATAATAAGGAAATGCATACGGGAAATTCGGTTTATTAAATTGGATCATTGTTCTAAATTATTGTTTTTAAAAGCTTAGGCCCAGCGTCGTGTTTAATCGTTGACTACAAATGAAATATGTTGTCTGGTCATGATTGTGCTCACCTGATTTTGAAGCCCTTATTTCAGTCATTCTTTTATTCAAAAGGTCCACTGCTAATTCATCGCTGGCGTTCGATAGTCTGGTTACAGAGGGATGGTCTGCTTTAAGACTCTTTGGGAATAAAATGACAAGAAATGTAGAAATTCGAGATTAAATTGTTCACCGCAGACATTATGACGAGAAAAGCCATAATACATCTCATGTAAAACTCATGTCGAAAACAAAAATATTATTTTACTTAACTTACTCCTTTTCAGTTAGTATTTAAGTTTCTGACTGACTTGAGTCCCAACTTGATAATATCTAAAGAGTTTATTGATACCACAAATTTAAAAATAACATTTGAAGGAGACAAAAGATTTTACTTTAGTTTCTTTTTGTTTTTAACTCTTCAGGGTAAAATTAAAGGCAGGAATGAACAGAAATTATTTTAGTAACATGTATTCCAAGCGTTGTTTAAACCAAAAATATGTTGGTCTAAACTTGTTATGTTTGTTACTATATTACCCAAAAACAACAATTATGTAAAATTACCTTCATTTATTGATATTAATTGAGAAAAGAAAAAAAACTTACCTCTGCGGAAGGGATGATTAGGCTGTTCCTTTTTCGCTGTTTCTTTTCCGTTTTGTTTCCTCCTCGGGTCTTTGATGTACTTCTTTGCCTCTTTATCACTTTATTTGCACCTAATTAAAAGAGGAAAACAAATCATTATTGAACGATGTTGGAGATAAGTTTTCCTCAAGTGTTGTTAGAGATAACATTTCCTGTAGCATATTTTAGTAATATCATGACATATGATTACTTAAAATTTCATTACAAGAGTCAATATTTTGCTAAACTAGTAATTTTGTGAAGCGTTGGATCAAGTCGAAGAAAAGGAGATAACGAGTACAAGAGGAATAAGAGAGTTGTGTATTAAGAGAGAAACCAGACAAAACTTACCTTCAGCATCTCGACTCTGTCTCTTCGACTTCTTCGGGTGAAGACGGTAGACCTTGTAAGCGTCGTTGCCCTTCGTCTTCCCTTTCTCTCTCAGCTCTTCGATGTCGGGAAGGGAGTTGATGGCGCAGCGAAAGTTAGCCTTCCATACCTTCGGGTTGGCCTTCGGGCAGTCGGTGGCGGGGTCGTATTTCTCTGTAGGAAAAAAAAAAGAAAGGTAAAGGACATGATTAGGATATGTTTCCATTTCAATCAGTGCATGCTATCATTGACTTGCTATAAAAATTGATTCAGCATGTTGACATTGAATGACATCGTAGTTGGCTCTTGTTCCGTGAACGCTTTTGTCAACCGGTAAGTGGTATAATTTTTTTTTAGATTTATATCATCATGCTGTTGAAATCTAGTAGGCATAATGTTAGCAGATAAGAAACCTAAGGCTTTAAGTACTTTCTGAAAGACTAGCGCATGAACTTGGTTTCGAGACCGGGACTATCCGATTACGATACCATAGCTCTACCACTGAGATTATCATTAAGGTATCCCACACATTACTCAAGAGAAGAAAAAAATGGGTGGCTGTTTATTTTCTTCCATTGTTATTGTTGGTTTGTTTGTTTTTGTATTGCGGAGGTTTAAAAAAGGAACATAATTGTGATGATGCAGAAGGATATATCTCCAACCTTGGGGCAGCATTGAGGGGGTGGCTGTGGGCCAGAAAACTAAGATGTGAAGGAGAGAGAGTTCTCGGAAAATAATTTATCCACCCCCTCTCAAATATAAATTACCCCTATCATTATGCGTGGGGTCATGCTCATACGGTACATTATTGCAGCTGCCCCCCCCCCCCACCCCCAATAATAATAATGGCATTAATATTGTACACTGCAGCGTTTGATGCTAATAAATAGGTTTTAACCCCCTCCTTCCATCCTAAAAATTGATCGACGCCCCTGTCCTCGTACACCCCTTCACCAGATGTTGGAAATATCGCATCACTTTGAATCATTCCCCACCATATTTCATTCAAATGGAATGATTCAACGCCCAGTTATCTGCATACCGGTCCTGGGCGGCGGGGCGCTTGATCCCAACCCCGCGCTCTCGAACCCAGCTGCGCCCCTCATTCGGTGCCGGCCACCAGTCGGTGAAAATCTTGGAAAAATGTCACCCGGGTTAAGTTGATTTCCAACATTTAGGTCATGATGAATTTCGCTGCTCCCGCACGCTTTTGAAGTCGCCATGGCTTTAACAAGGTGATAAGGGATGGCAAGTGTTGAATGATTGACAGCAACTAAACGACTGTGGATGACTCAAATACGCGTGGCGCGATTATCATACTTGTATAATGATTGTATTCTTGCCTCATACATAAACCTATAGTATGATAAACTTCTTGTTCTATCTCTCCAAGTACAACACAAAAATCATTGTATGCTTTTAGAAAAGGGTAACACTATAGTTGACATGCAGTTTCAGTGGCACACAAACTTTAATCTCATTCACAAAAATGTATTGTCTACAGAATAAAGAAAATAAACCGCAGTGGAACGATGATTCAACATTATACATGGTAAACTATAAAATGCAATGGAATGGAAATTTACAACTTCTTTGTCTAGGCTATACTATTTTTGCTTTATATGCCTCCCATTTCTCTTGAAGAACCTTAGATTGCACACTTTACGTAATCGAAGAAAGAAATATGACATTAAAAAACCCATGTGGATTTGTATACATTAAGAACTATAGCATGCCAAATATTCTTATACATGTAATTCCCCCATGTACTTTATTTTCATTTGCCATGATTTTTGTGTGTGCGTGCGTGTGCGTGTGTGTGTGTGTCTGTTATTGTTCATTCTCTATCCAGGCTCTCTAGATCTTTGAGGGAATTCACTGTTTCTCTCCCCTTATCAAAAATGACACAAAAGAAAGCTCTTCTCGAAACCATTCGTCTTCAAATTACCAGGAAAACCATATGTCGCCTGTCATGTAAATCTACATATTACCGTCAAAACAATTACTTATGCATAACCATACTCGTGGGCGTAAGAATTGGCGTACTTTGGTTAAGATAAGATCCTCCAATATATTTCCAAGGCGTGCATCCCCTGGGGAGGGGAGGGGTCAACCCTCCAAACGCTACATTCGCGCCGTTTTACTCACACTTGTACATTCATTCAAGAGCAATTTCACTTCTACGACGTAGTCTTGATTTCGAAACCCTTTCACAGATCGTGAGTTGAACTTGTAATAAAAACTGGTAAAAATGTACAAGCAAGAAGCTATACTCTCTCAAAACAAACAAACCAGAAAGGAAAATGAAACGGTAAAGAAAAGTAGGCACGTGACCTGTAACAGCTGCTTTATTTTCGGAAACTGTAAACTGGTGATTTGTTTTTATTCTCTCACTCTTGTCCTACAATGTCGTTGGACTTAGGACTTGGACTCAAATTCAGATTCATAATATAGATGCAGTGATAGTATGTTAGAGTGTACATTGTATAATCATACGGTCTACATGTCATGTGTATAACACAGGTTTGCGTTTTGCACAAAGTAATTTTCTCAAACTGTCACTCTTTGTCTTGTTCATCTTTGTTCTTTTTTATGATTTTTTTTTTTTTACTTGTTCCATGCCAGCAGCGATAGTAAATGGTTTATGGCACAATCATTATTGTGTCAGGACTATTCTACCACCATTCTTCTTTCTGTCAACGCTTAAACAAGCACCGGGGCAGCTAAGGAATGTGAAAAGAAGAAAGGGTTTTATTTTCTACCTTAACCACAAACTCTGGGAGAATTATACCAGCTGCGCGCCCTTTTCTTTACTTCTTTATTTCTTTCTCTTTGATGTTCTTTTACTTTGTGTGGTTCCACTCTCCGTTGTTCGCTTTATAACAAGGTAAAGTATGTTAAACCATCATACAGGTCACTGATGGCGGCGGGGGGGGGGGGGGAACCGGCCCCTGTCCCCTTAAGACCCAAAATGAGGCCCCTCCCAAAATTCCGCCCTAAAAAGCGTCAGAAAATATTCATACTTATTATATAATCAGTGTGATTTTTGTAATTGCTTATAAGATTATTTTCAGGACTGACCCCTCCCCCCCCCCCCCCCCCTCCCCTCCTTAAAATCCCGGTTTCGCCCCTGATAGATGTTGGCTGTTAAAACACAATCTGTGGCGTATCCATTGATGGTTATCCTTACAAGTTGAATCCTTTCTTCTTCTTTTCTTTTCTTTTTCCTTGGGTGGTGGTGGTGGGGGGGGGGGGGGTCATTAGTTACAACGGACCATAAGATCTTTGGTTTTTATACAACATTTTGAAATTGTATAGGCCTGCTGGCTATGGCGCATGTATGTGTGCTTATTATGTGGGGTGCGTGTGCGCGTGCTGGTGTGTGGTGTGAAATAGTCTTCACCTTATACTTTGCGAGCAATTTCTATAGGCCTTTAATAATTATGTAATCCAAAGCGATGTGCATGGGCTAATACGGGGAACATTTTTCACTGTTGAAAGACGGGAGGGCGTTAACCCTATACAAAGTGGTGTGAATTATACACCAGTATACACTCAGCAAACGTGTGAATTGTCTGCATTTGAGGTAAGAAAGACACACTTTACGCAGACAACATTTATGATAGCATTTCTCAAATTCTAGATAATGCCGGTGCAATCAAAAAGAGCAAATAATGGGCATTGGGTCGCATTTAACAATCCGATTGCACCTCGTTATTTTGATAATAGGGTTTGTTTGCAGAGACTACGTGCAATGTCACAATGACAAAGATTACACGCCCACGCAGAAGTGCACAGTCGTATGAATGGAATGTAGAGGTCGATTAGTTATGTTCAACGTGTATAATGTGTGTCGTTACACACGCGTAATAGTTCCTTTGAAATTTATTAATTTACTCACCGCACCTGACTTCTTGAATTAATAATCGTAAAGATTTTAACATCCCTCTCTATTTGATATTTTATTTTTCAATGCTATGAAAAATTCGACGTAATTCAGTGGGTGAAATATTGCGCGGTTTCGCAGTGCACTGATTTTGCAACATGATAGTTCGACTGAAACCAATCTGAATACATGTATGTATGTATATTTGTAGAGGGTGCGTGTGGGTTTGTGTATGATGTATCTATATATATTATGAGAGTAAAGTGACACAAATTATTTTCCTTCTTCAATTTCTCACATTATACTATATGTTTCACACATACACACACGCATACAAACATGCATGTATAAATCTCCCTACGTTTGATCTGTTAGTTGACCAATCATGTATGTAATTTTGTTAATGCTGAACCCCTTACTAGTTATCTGAATCACTGAATCCATTTATACCGATTCGATTCATTTAAATCCAAAATTGAATTAGAAATGAACATTGAGTCATATTGAGAGAATCGAAACACCTGTTCCATAATTCTTCGTTTCAGATAATTTGGGGTTAATAAGTTTAAGGACGCATAACGTTGGCTGGTTGGTATGTATAAGTGGGAGGGTGGGATATTCAGATGAATACCCCTAAACAATCCTGTACCGTCCTAACTTTATTATTCTTCAGTGAGATCAAACAAAATCAGAAATTGAAAGTCAAATGTCTCAAATTGTTGGTGAATTCATACAAATCTATTTTAGCCGCCTCCTCACTAATATCCTGTTTCTTTTCCATTATTGCTACTAATTCTTTCGCTTTGTTATGATATTGATACATAATTTTGAAGATTCCGAGGGCCTGCATGTCTCCAACCCACTCATGCAAAGCTTCTGTATCATTTTCATATTCTATAAATCGAGTCAGGTGATTCGGCACGTGATCTCAGTGTAAATAAAATTTAAATGGCTGATGAATACAGTTTGACAGTAAATGCGGTCGTGGACAGGTTCGGTAGACAAAATAAATTTTTCCTCTAATTAAAACCCTTTGAACTTTCTGTGTAGGTGTCTACTACGTAGTTGCCATTTTCAGATGAATTTTCTACAAACAAACAAATATATCTTTCTTAGAACTCTTCTTGGAGCATAAAGATATGAATAGATCTAAGCAATTTTGATATTAAGTCAATAAGCTCTTTGCGATGCCAGAATTTATACAGTCTAAACATCATCGTACAAATGTAATGTTGTAGATAGGGAACAAGGTACAATAAATTAAGCTCAGTTATCACATTCATTGACA